ATTAGAATTTCTAATATCGTCACTGGTCTAATTCTGATGGTCAAAGTTACCGATACTTATAGTAGTATTAGGCTCTTTTGGAATTGTTGAATGAACCGATCTATCAATGGAGTCATAGTGACACGAGATAGGAATTGACGAAACTCCCATATTAATCTTGACGTTTGAAAAAAAAAAGTGCTTGTGTATCAAGACTATAATGTATCTTTGCATGTTGTCATGGACTACCTCAATATCAAATCAAAGGAGATGATTATGATGAGAGTTTACCTTAAATATGATTAATTAACTTGAAAACCGGAGGAATCCTAACCAAATTCATGTAAAACACAAAATAATATCAATATAACAAAAAGAAAAACAAAAAATAAAGAAGAATACATGAAGAAACTTGTAAGAAAATGTGTGTACGTACCTCTAAAAAATGGAAATAGTCGTGGCTATACCAATAAATTTTAGGCTCAAAGAAGTCAATTTCAAGAAATTAATTTGAAGGGGTTATGGAGCTTGAAGAGATGAACAAGAGTCTTTCTTTTGTTGGGGGTGACTTGTTGGAGAATGTAGAACAAAGAATTGAACCTATCTTTTATTTACACTTCTAGGGTGGGTGGTTGGGGCCTAACCATGTTAACAATTAAAGTTAGCACTGAGAGTATATAAATTTTATATATCATTAAATTAGGTTAATCTACAATAACAAGTACTAGCTTTTTATGCCGAGCCTAATATGATAACATGAAAAATAGAAAGATCAGTCGTAACTGATTAGGTTTAATATATAGTAATATAGACCCTGTGCTTATAGTATGAGATCAATAATCCAAATAAAAGAGAGATGCCAGAAGAAAGTTTTAGCCCTTAAAATACATTACGATCAAAAACGAAGAACTAAATGAAACAATAAAGATAAAGGAGCAACCAACCAGAAGGGCGTACCTTAAAAGGGCACTAATAAATTGTATTGATAGAGTAAAAATTATACGAGTAGTCTATAAAACTTACATCCTAATTATTTTAGCTGTATATTGGTTTTTAGGCGAAGCGGTTGATGATCATTTTCCACAGAGGAAGCTAACGGCAGTTGTAAGCAAAACCATTTGACTGACTTTAGGTTAACAAATATTCCCTAATTAGACCTAAAAATTAGAAGCAATCCCCAAGCATTTGTTTTTCCCAATTCTATGTACTTGATGATCAAAAGCTTGAAATTAGATATTCTCATAACAGATGCATGGTTTTATTTACGTTCATTATAACCTAATGAATCAAATATTGGTTTTAATTGGTTAAAAAACAAACAAAATGATACTAGTGTTAATTTTCCGTTTTTCTTATGAACACTAGAAAGATATTAACAAAATATTGCTGGTTCACCTAATGGGGAGATAAAGAAAAGTAGTATTTGTCTTGATAGAGAAGGGAGAAAGGTGAAGTGAACATTTCTTAATGTGACAATGTACCTGCAGCCAGAACTAACACAACCGTTGGCACCCCCACAAGACCAATGTTTGGTGACAAAATATATAAAACTTATATTTTGCTTCAAAAATGCATCTCATATAAAAATGGAAAAATGGTGTCTGAAAAGCTTATATTAAGAATTCTTGATCTATGCATGTATTTTCTCAACTGTCCTTTTGGTCTTTCATTCAAATACAAATACAGTGTATGATAGTGCTAATTAGGAAATCTTGAAGATCTTTCCGACTTGAGAAATTAAGATTCTAAGTGTATGAACTTTAGTGATTTCCTTTTTAATTCTCAAGAAATACCAAAAAGAAGAAGAATAACTTTGATTGTAAAGGCCTGCATCACCCTAGCCTAGCTTTTCAACTGTATCTACGTCAAGTGTATTCAGATAATAATGGAAGTAGTTATTAGAGTATTGAATAGAGTAATTTTGTTATAAATAGAATTGTATTTATGGTGAATGTCTATATTTAGAGAGATTCTAGGGTTCATTGCTTGGTGGCTAAGTCACCCTCTCCCTATAAATAGAGGGTTCTATTCTATTGTAATTCATCTAATATCAATAAGAATTCTCTCTCTCTCTGCTTTTCTCTGCAAAACTCTTGTTCTTCATTTATTGTTTTATAACACGTTATTAGCACGAAACTCTAACCAATTGAGTAGAAGCTTTTGGAATGAGCATAATGATTGTCAATTGTTCCATGAACTTCCTTCATGATTAAATTCTGGATTTAAGGTATGTATATTACCGTATTTTTCTCTTTTATTCTATAATTTGATTTTAAATACAAGCAAAGAAAATAAATTTTGATTATAACTCTAATGGAGTTAGAAAGAAATTATAACCACTCGAAGTGGTAAAATTTCTATGTCTTGCCATGATCAAAGTCATGTATGATCGTGAGCACAAGAAGTGAAAACCCGTCCCATTGAATTTGCTTCATTCTCATTCCCTTAAGAGAATGAGATGGAATATGTGATAAGTCTGAAAGAAGACAAAATTATTACTGTGAAGGCATCAATGGATGTGGACGTGGCAATAGACAAAATTTTAATCGTCATCATTGTGATAATGAGAATAATAAGGATTTTCAAAATATTCTTCACTCTGTGAAAGTAATATTTGTCATCGATTTGACATGAGATTTTATAAAGCACATATACATGAATGGTCCATTCATGATGTGAATGTGACAACATCTGATTTATGAATACATATTCATTCTTGTAAGAATATGAACGTGCTAGTGGTAGTGAATATACCACACTCACCTCTAGAAGGAGGTTTGAGATGATATAAGAAAATAATGTCATTATTATGGCATGAATGGTCATTGGTCACGTACCTATTGCACGCCAAAATATTTTGATAATGTGATTATTAAAGAATAACATTAATGCAAGAAACATATCTTGCATATAATTTTAACCATAACCATAATGGTATAACTTTCTCTTTAAAAGAGATATTCACCATATGGATGTTGATGAATATGTGGTAGTACCAAATTAATTGAGAGCTCTGGAAGAGCCAATTATTACTATTTTGAAGGAATAAAATTGATTATCAATAAGGCATTGTGTTGTAGTAAGTCTCAAAGAAACTTAATTGAGTTTCTAAAGTATTCGCGAAAGCGGTTGGTCATACTAAGACTATAAATAAAGGAAAGATTTAATATCTTCTATGTATGTGAAAAGCTACCCGCTTTATTCTCCAGTTTGTATGTGAAAAGCTACCCGCTTTATTCTCCAGTTTGTACTACACAAATAAAAGAATGCCACAATAAAGTAGAAGTTTATTGATATAAGAACCCATATCATAATAAACTTGGAGTTTATTGATAATTGCACACGTTATGGTGTAAATCTGAAGTTTATCAATATTGATAATTTATTCAGTTGGCATTATTGGTTTAGCCATATCAATTTAAGTATGATGTGCAAAAATAAAAGAGAATACACATGGGTAAATATTAAAGAACTAGAAAGTTCTTTACGAATTCTCTAATGTTGCTTGTTCTCATTAATTAATAAGCCAACAAAATTGGGATCGAATCCCATGAATTCTGGAAATATCAAAGGTGAATATGGGCCCATTCACCTGCCATGTATACCACATAAGATGCATCTATGAGATGGTTACATGTGCTATTATTATTGACCCGCAACCTGGTGTTTGCGAGGTAACTTGCTCAATAATTTAATTTAGAGCATAATTTCCAGATTTTCTATTCAAGAAGTTCATCTTGATAAGTTGGTTTACATCACAGTTGGTTTAGCAAAATGATTTATTGAGTGCCTCCACTTAATAGCTAAACTATTGCTTATGAGAACAAAGTTATCTATATCAGTTTGATATACGTTATATACGAAAGTATATTACATTCTCCTCTCACAAGTGGTTCAGGGTCAAGAACCAAATAATTCTATCTTATTATTATTGATGTGCGGTGTATATTTTTATTAACACCATAATGCACAAAGATGGGTTCCCAAAATTGAGGAAGAAAGTTAGTTTTTCTAACATGAAGGGGAGACAAGATAAACAGTTGAGAAAAAGTTACGTGGAATGAATTATCATTTGTATATCTGGATCATCGAATACGATAATATGAACTTGAAGTTCATAAAAAGATAATTCATCTCCAATATATTGCAAAGTATGCTTGTTGACCCAAAGAAAGTAACAATATTCTCACTGCAAATGCTCATATTAGAATAAGTCCTAGAAGGACAAAGTCTATGGTACACTTAAAACGTATAGATAAATCGGTTTCAAATAAACTTCTTAATAAAGAAGATGAGCAAATGATCTAAATGATCATAACAAAGGAGGCAAGTAATCTAGAAGACCACATGACATAACATTTCATAAAATCTCAGGATTTTCATGTGTTGTGGCTCAATCATTGTTGTTGGAGCGTATCAAGGCTCGCCAATTTGATGATCCTCACTTGTTAGTGTTCAAAGACATGGTGCAACGGGGTGGTGCCAATGAGGTAGTGATTGGAGATGATGACATTATGCGGCTTCAAGGCCGAATTTGTTTTCCAAATATTGATGGGTTGAGAGAGTTGATCCTTGAGGAGGCTCATAGTTCACGTTATTCCATTCACCTAGGTGTCACAAAGATGTATCATGATTTGAAGTAGAACTATTGGATGTATTGTTGGACATGTCTCTCAGTGCTTGAATTGTTAACAGGTGAAGTATGAACATCAGAAACTGGGTGGGCTAACTCAGAAATTTGTGATACCGGAGTGAAAATGGGAGCGCATCATTATGGATTTTGTGGTCGGCTTACCACAGACCTTGAGGAAGTATGATATTGTTTGGGTTATTGTGGACTGGTTGACTAAGTTCGCACACTTTATTCCAGTGATGACATCCTATCCTTTAGAACGATTAGATCGTATTTACATCTAGTAGATTATTCGCCTGCACGACATGCTCAGTTCTATCATTATCATTTCAGACCAAGGCAAGCAGTTCACTTCACATTTTTGGAGAGTCATGCAGCGTGAGTGGGCATGCGGGTTGAGATGGTTACCGCATTTCGCCCTCAGACAGATAGGCAGTCCGAGCGAACTATTCAAATTTTGGAGGACATGTTGCGAGCATGGTCTATATATTTCGGGGGTCAATGGGACCAGTTTCTACCTCTAGCGGAGATTGCCTACAACAACAGCTATCAGACAAGCATTCAGATGGCTATGTAGGGGGCCTTATTTGGGAGGCAATGTCGTTCTCTAGTTGCTTGGTTTGAGCCTGGTGAGGATAGATTGTTGGGCACAAACTTGGTTCGTGATGCTTTGGAGAAGGTAAAAGTGATTCAGGAGTGGCTTCGTACAACTTAGTCCAGGCAAAAGAGTTATGCAGACTGGAAGGTCCAAGATGTGGCTTACATGGAAGGTGAGAAGGTTCTTCCCCGAGTGTCGCCTATGAAGGGTGTGATGCAATTTGGAAAGAAGGTCAAAGTTAGCCCAAGGTTTTTTGGCCCATTTGAGATCTTGGAGAAAGTTGGAGAGGTTGATTATAGGCTTGCATTGTCTCCTAGCCTAGCAGGGGTACATCCGGTAATTCATGTCTCTGTGCTTCGGGAGTATCATGAAGATAGGTCACAAGTTTTAGACTTCAGCATGGTGCAGCTTGATGATAACTTGACCTATGAGGAAGAGTCAGTGGCTATTCTAGACCGGCAAGTTCGAAAATTGAGATCTAAAGATATTCCTTCTATGGAAGTGTGTTGGAGACATCTGCCGATTGAGGAGGCTACTTGAGAGTCCGAATCCGATAAGGAGTAGAAACAATTCCCAGTGTCGCAAATGCGGCACCACAGAGGATATGAATGAAGGGTGCTTCCATGCTTGTTTTTATATTATGATGTGAGGATGAGAGTAAAAGCACGAAAAGTGATGCCAATAATTTTGTTGATTTCGTTGCACCTTATTTAAATATTTAGAATGTGGACTTGACTTTGTGGCTTCGTTAATCACTTTTGAAAGAGGCTTAATCAGTGGCACTTTACTTTATATTTCTGTTTTATGCCCCTTTACTTGTGTATTGTTATCCCTTTCACTTTTCACCTGTCATTATTCTGTTGTTATATTTGTTACTCTATCTGTTATTTCATTACTTCTTGATTATATACACAAGTTTTTTGTAGGTCTCATGTCTTAGACTTGTCACCACCTCGTCAAGGCTAGGCTCGACACTTACTCAGTACATTAAGTCGGTCGTACTCATACTACACTCTACACTGTGCAGATCTAGGTATTGGTACCAACGGAGTTCCAAGAGGTGCTTAGCGGATACCAGATAGGTGATTCGAGGTAGAGCTACATTCCGTTTGCAGGCCTTGAGTCATCTTCTTATTACCATTGTACTATTTTTATTTTTCGGACAGTGTTGTGTTTCCTTCAAAGTAATGTATTTAGTAAACTCTAGTAGCTTATGTACTTGTGACTCCACGTCTTGGGATGGTTTATGTTGGTGTTGGTTTTAGACTTATTATGTTTATCTCCGAATTACTTGTACACAATGTTATTATCCTACTGTTAGTCATTTATTGCAGTTCTTTCATATTTCTCTGTTGTGTGTTGGCTTGCCTAGTAAGCGGTATTAGGAACCATCAAGATCCCCGTTGGTTGGAATTTTGGGCCGTGCTATGTAGTTTGATATAAGTCAGTCGTATATTCCATTGAAGAGAAGACTCCTTAATATATACAAATGTATAATAGTTAGAGTTTGAAGCGTTTTAGTTGAGGTAAAATAGTAATAGTATCTAGTCTATCTTATCTTAACTACCTGTACAATTCAAACTATGTATTATCCGCGAATAAAGTTTTAGCGTAAGTTTTGGCTATGCTTTGATACCATGAAAGAATTTTCTATCTGAAGATAATTCAGTCGTGTATATATAATGTATGATAGCTAGCGTTTGAAGAGCTTGAGTAGAGATAAAATAAAAATAAAAAATCTAATCCTATCTTATCTAAACAACCTGTACAGTTCAAACTTGAATCTAACTACGTATTATCTACATATGAAGTTTTGGCGTGAGTCTTGGCCATGCTCTGGTACTATGAAAGGATTATCTATTTAGAGATAAATCAGTCATATATTACATTAAAGTAAAGAGTCCTCAATATATACAAGTTGTATGACAGCTAGCCTTTGAAGAGTTTGAGTAGAGATAAAATACAACGAATATCTAGTCCTATCTTATCTCAACTACCTGTATAATTCACACGTGAATTCAAACAACGCATGAAGTTTTGACGTAAGCCTTGGCTATGCTCTGATACCATGAAGAGATTCTCTCTTTGGAGATAAATCTATCGTATATTCTAATAAAGAGAAGAGTCTTCAATAATAAGAGTTGTATGATAGCTAGCACCTGAAGTGTTTGAGTATACGTAAAATGCAAAGAATATCTAGTTTTATCTTATCTCAACAACTTGTACGATTGAAACTTTAATTCAAACTATGTAGTATCTATTGTATTCCTAACATGGCCTGATTTCTATTTTAAAAATAAAAATTATAATATTTTTTTGTTTCACCAAAGTAAGTAAGTAATCAGAGTGTAGATCAGTTTATAAATCCTTCTGGCGAAGCAATTTTAAAGTTAGTTTCATGCACTTCTACTTTTACGTTTGAGAACCCAAAATTTTTTTTTTGATAAATCAAACCCATAAAAAGTTTGTCTTCGTGTTAACACACTCTTGCAGGATGTGGGAACTCCAACGCATGCAGAAATATACATATATATATATATATATATATATATATATATATATATATATATATATATATATATATATATATATATATCGCGAGAGAGAAAAAAAATCATTCAGTAAAAAATATGGTGATTATTGATTACGCCATCATCTTTTGTCTTTAAAATTCCGTGTCACTGGATAATTCTTTTATCATTAATGTTACTTGGAAGTCATGTTTTTAGGTCTAAGTAACTAATATCTTGTATTTTAATTACTAATGTTGTGATTATATGTCTATTAATTTAATATTAAAATATGGCAGCATCGCGATTGTTCCTTGTATGACTGTCTTGTGTCTTATTATCGAAAATATTAATTCGTCCACCAATTTTCAAGTTTACTCGATATATTAATCTCGCCCCCTCCCAGAATTTGTAAGAGAATAAAAAATAAAAATAAAAGGAAGAAAAGAAAAAAAAGAGCAACTAAATTAGAATATAAGAAACGAAAAGCTTTTCGTCTATTTAATAGTTAGGCAAAATGGTCTAAATATCCCACTAAATTGTGAAAACAAAATTGTTGGAGTCATACATCACAAATCTTGTACCTTAGATAACAAAAGTCCAGTAGCCAAAAGGATGACCAACTTAACTGAAACCATCACTAGCTTACACCCAAACTAAGTCCCATAGGACAATGTAAGAGGCGTAAATCAGAATCTAAATTTTATGAGTTCCTACCGCGATCTAAATTTAATATACAATAATAATCGAATTCATATATAGTCAAGTATTTATAGATATTTAGTCAATTTTATTATATATATAATTATAGGATTTGAATAAAAAATATTGAGTCAAGTGATCCCATAACTTACAAACTAGATCCGCCTATATTTCTAATAATTGTTGAAACGCCATCTTCCGAAATGGTTTGGCAGCCTCTCCAAAATGATATGTAGCGGAAACGGATAACAAAGTGCACAAAATTTCTTGAAAAGTCTGGTGGTAGTGTCTATGCACAAGACAAGACACCTTCAGTATCAAATTGTTGACCATATGGCTATTCTACTAGTACTAGTAAAAAGAATTAAAACAAAAAAGAGATAATGGTAAAAAGAATTAGATATCCCTCCAAAAAAAGCAAAAAAGAGAGAAAAAGAAACAACGTTCAAAAGCAAAAACAGTTGCAGAAGTGTTATACTCTACTCTTTCCATGCTGGACAAAATAAGATTCATCTGCATTGGCTAAACGATCTTGGAACATAGCCCACTCATTTGTACACCTTTCTCTTACCTACAATACAGATATTCATCCATTTTAACCTCCAGTACAACAACAATAACTATGCCTCTGTCTCAAACAAATTGGGATCGGCATTAATCAAGTTAAAGAACCTATGGTAGTTATCAATATAAATTTCAGGTGACAAAAGATATGCTTACCCCTTCCCAAGGAGCTTTACCATTTTCAGACTCACCCTGTAATCCAAAAGAAAAAAATAAAAACAAAAGAAGCAGGAACATGCCAAAGAATGATTAAAAGAGCAACTTCAGTAGGATAAGTAATCAGGTAATCTATGATTCTACAACAAAAAAGACTTATAGCGGCCATGAATATACCCTTTAATTTAGCTGCAATAAAACTTGTTGCGAAAACCTTTACCGGCATTGAGTTATTTGCCATTGTATCGGGGTTCAGTAAAGGTTTTACCAGCAATTATAAGTGGTGCTTGTAAAGATCCCAATTATGATCAGTAAAACGACGTGAAACACTGGCTTCCCCCCTCATGAGCTAGTTTTGTATCCCATAGAAAGAATGATGATATGGTTATAATAACACAAATTCAGTCAAGGAAATACTAGCTTCCCCCTCCTTTGAAGCTCAAAAAGAAACAGTAATAACAACTTTTAAGAAAGAAACTAGGTGAGAACAGTTTCATGCACTAGGATATATAGTCACATACGAAGAAGCACAAATAACTCTCTAAATGTTCATATAATCATATCTGAAGAAGCACTAGTTTTTCTCTGCTAGCTAATAATTTCTCTTCCTCATCTAGGTTAGAGATATAAGAGATATTCCTACCCCAGTACTGTCACGAAACGGAAGAAATAATTTGGTCCTCGTCTAAAGAGAGGTGTATCCAAGAAATAAATTTGATGGGTTTAGTTTTCAAAGTTTTAGCATTGAATTCATTGTACTTTTGAATTTATAGGTTCATGTTTGATATTCGTTGAAGGGGAGCCTTGGTGTAAATGATAAAGTTGTTGTCATGTGACCAAGAGGTTCAAGCTGTGGAAACAGCCTCTCGCAGAAATATGGGATAAGGCTGCACAATATCACATACATACATAACAAGAAAAAAAATCATAGGATTACATTCTTTTACAGATGCTTCGGATTGAAAGGAATGAAGATAAATGAAAGGAGGGGAATAAGAGATAAGGCTTTTTTTCCCCCAATTGTGGACGAGTTTCTAGGGAGTCAAGGATTAGGATGAAAGAACACATGCTTTTTCCGTCCAAAAGTGAGTGGAATCAGAGGGTAGGAGACTCCATTTAATGAAACTTTTTTTAACCATAAATAGGTCATATTAAGTAATTCAGAGGCGGAGCCAGGACTGAAGCTTATGAACTAATCTTTTTAAGTTACTGAATTCTAAATTTAATAATTTGTACATATTCAATAAATTTCTTAAGACAAACACATAGTTTGGATCAAAGCTAGTGGCCGAACCCATAGCTTCTACTCTCCTTCCACCCCTGTTAAGCATACTCATTTCTTTGTTTTTATTCCTAATGATTCCAAACAATAATAATATTCTCCGTTTTCCCTCTTCTCTCCTTTTTTGTTGCTTTCGCATGGTCTTCTTTTCCTTTTTCTCGATCAGAAACATCCATTAAGCTTTGGTGGTATTACACAGACTTGCCATAACACTAGTCATGAGCTCAACTGCTACAATCACTAACAAAAAGCTTGATCTTTATTATCTCAAGCACTTGGAAATTTTCAGGTGATTGATTTCAACTTTTACATATTCGAGGATTGGATGGCTGGCTGAAGAATTTACAATCACAATATGAACTAGGTTGGGAAAGTAGCTAATGGGTCATTGTTCATGGATTTGAGTTCTCATAAGATGGGCAGGAATCAAGAACTTCCTAATCGGGGATTTCCGCATATATTAAAAAAAATTATTACTATATCAATAAAATGTAGCTTTCTGGAAATGAACATTGACTGACCTGATTCCCTAGAGAAGGAACAAACTGATGCACAATCCACTGTGAATCAACAACACCAATTTTTTCATGAGCAGGCTGCACAAACCATGTTAAAAACAAATTAAGATTTCGCCAATGTGTCCATCATATCTCAAATAAGTCTAAGCTGAGAAGATAATTCTCAGTTGTATCTAATTTTTCAGTGTGCAGCTCTCCTTTTACCACTATTCTACTACAATTCAAGAATGTATCTGGAGGAACTAAGAAGTAATAACCTCTACACATCTTCTCAATGCGAAATCCAATCCCCATCCATGCACCAAATCATTCTATAATTTAAATCAAGTTAAAAAATCAGTATAAATAGCATATGAAATAATAGAAGACACTCGTGATCAGGGCAATTGCATCTTGAAACGATTACAGCGAGAAAAAAAGACATCACCAGTTGACACATCTGATACCAAGAGTAAGAACTACCTGAATCATATGCCAAACACATTGCCATGCTTCTCGAGAGAACACAGGAGCCATTATTTCCACAAAACTGAACAGGAAATGAGACCGGTAAATAAGATAAATCCTATAAAGAATATACTAGGACTCTGAGGCTATTGCTTGAGTTTAATCAGGACACCCAAGCTCTCATTTGGAGCCATAATTGCTAAACAATGATCTGTTTTAGAACGTGTATGATTTTCCAAAAATAGAATATTTTGAGACTACTACTCGAGTGTGAGAGAGAGAGAGAGAGAGAGAGAGAGAGAGAGAGAGAGAGAGAGAGAGAGAGAGTACGCTGCACAAGGAGGCAAACGTGGATTGCTGCACCAGCCTGGTTTCTCATCTGTACTCCTGTTGATCAATCCACACAAAAATTTTACATGTCGATGAACATAAGCTAGTTTATACAGGCATTCCATCCAAATTAATTGAAAATAGATTAAAATTTGAATCAGAAGAAGGATTCAACAGAATGTACTTGTGAACTTCTCTATCATCCCTCCTCTTAGTCATCTGCCATGTCAATCCACTGTTGGGTTCAAGAGCAGGCTGAGAAATCTCAAGGCCATGTTTTTTAACTAGTCTAATATACCTGGCAAATTCAGGCGGCCAAGATTAGTCCGAAACAACATATATAAAGAGAAAACATGGATGCTTTCACTTTTGAAAATGACGAACCAACTAAAACATCAAGGGAATAGTGCGTACTTCTCTGCATTGAAATGCTCAACTCCAAGGTCTTCATCCCATATAAATATGTAATCATAGGCGGCTACTACATCAGGATGTAAAAATCTCTTTGCATACCACCTGATAAAGAAAAGAGAGACCAATATTAGACGGAAAAAAATAAAAGAACACAAGTTATTATATCCAACAACTTCCTCAAGTTCCGTTCAGTTTATCATCTTAGTTGGACAAAATCAATGGATCCAAATATGCTAGTTAAAAGAGGCTACTGCCTAAATAAAACAAAGTTCTCGCACGACATTACTCTTTGATTGTTGCATCAGATAGATAAGACTTAGAATCCTAAAGCTAATACCTAAAATCAAAGTCTTACCATTTGGTCTGTTTCCTCACGCTGACGTGAATTGCTCGCTTGGACCACTCAAATTGATCCCATTCACTCGTTCGACCATCATAATGGAAAAGTAAAATTTGAAAATCCTCTGAAAACTAAATAAAGCATAGAAAACAAGACTAGTACATGGGATGCAATGTTAAGTAAAAGAGCTAAAGTTGTAAAGATATCCTTTTAATGGAATCACTTCATTTTTACTACCTTTGTAACAGCTGCATCAATGTTGTTCATTTGACTCAAACCAACAGTAAATGTCACCAAGTACTTTGGCTTATTTGTTAGATCCTGATAATTCCACAAAATTTGTAAGATAACTGCACCTAAATAAAGCACCAGGAAGCAAAACCAAAGTAAAAGTGACAAACTTCATGACAACCTTCAGGCTTTTCCTTTCCGTAAATACAGAAGTCCTAATGATGCATGCCATAACGCTTCGAAAGCATTGCATATAGAATAGGTTATTGTCTCTTAAGCTAATGCAAAGCTGGAAGCACATGTCGTTCATTAGAGAAGTAAAAACTTGAATGACAGCCTAGGGTTGCAGCTAAAGTCCTTGCCTTCAGCCTCACACAGCTAAATATATAATAAGCAAGCAAATGAAACCAAAACTTACCCAGAAACCAGTGTGGCTGATGTTTAATCCAAAAACTCATAACATAGACATGCAACGGCATCTTATAAAGGCAGGATGTTGAAGTATCCATTTTTTTCCAGAAGTGTCAAATGCAGGTATCATACACTATAATGAGAGACATTCCTTTTCATTTTTTCTTTATTTTTTCAAAATCGGAGTTAATCAATGATTATTTGATATATCTGCATCATACCTTACTTGGTTCACCCCACAACCTTCTCAAGTAAAAATCTGATTCGGAGACAACAATTCTTGGTGGCAATGACTCTGCACCACGAGGATTTGTTGGAACATATATCTAGAAAATCAAAAGCATTAATAATTTAGAGAGGACCTGATTCAACTGTATCAAGACAGCTGAAACATATATTTTAACTCCTTTACATATGCAAAATAATCATGTAATCAGAATATGAGCTCTGCATATAACCATAAGCAGTGTTATCAAAGGCGAAAAGCGCAAAAAAGCTCTAAGGTCCGTTGGAGCTGTAAGCGCAAATAAAGCATGGGATTTAATGAAAAAGGGCGCAACTGGAGAAAAAGTAAATATATATATATATAGTCCAAGACCAATAATTATAAGCATGAATAACAAATATAAAGACAAAAAAATTGAAAAAGAATTATGATAAAATGAAATATCAATTATTTAGTGTCGCCTTTTCAGGATTACACGGAAAAGTATGCCTTAGTGCCTTGATTGACACTAAAACGCCCCCAAAGCAAGACGAACCGCTCAACATGTTTTGAGCCTCGCTTCAGGGCTTAAGCGCGCTTTAAGCGAGCCTTTGACAACACTGACCATAAGAACGTCTCAATCACCGCAAACTTTAATTGCAAAACAGGAGCAGAATGGCCTAAATGAAATCAGCCAATTTGCCAAAAACCACATAAAACTTTATAGTGGCCCAATAAGATAAATCTGTGCATCTTGTTGAGCCAGCTTTACTTCAAAGAGTTGTTTTAAAAAAGACTATGTAGATGACAAAAGCACAAAATACAACATTTTTTCTAGAAACCAGAAAGGGACATTCCGAAAATGCAGGAAATAATGAAAGTAGATATTTATCAACATAATGATAAAAACACATTTAAGAAGTAGAATTAGCACAATTGATCCATTTGGCTGTCTGATTTTGTTGATATGGAATTCACAAGTGTTCAAAATTCAACACCATAAGGCAGAAAGATGTCGATTCAAAGAGTTTTACATGGATCTTGCTGGCCAAATTAACACCATTTGTTTGTTACTGGAGTACCAAAACTTCATTTTGCTAGATAAGTCGTAATGAGATTCCATCACATGATTATACAAGTGAATCAACATAGGGAAGTTGAAGGTGAGAATAATGTAAAGGATCCAAGCGAAATACATACCTTTGGATTTACCAGATTCTCTGGAAAAAAGCGTTCAATTGAAGGTCTACGATGGTCATCACCAAAGGCTACATCAAGAGATGACATTAGACTTGAAGGTAAAGTAATCTGCAAAAGACACAAAAAATTACGAGGAATGACAAAAGTTTCTTAATTAACATCAGAGCAAAGATTGGGCTAATTACCTTTGTTAGAGAAACATATGGAGATGAAATGCCAATAAAATATCCAAAAACCATTCCCATGATTGTTGTTATAACAAGTCTGCCTCTATCGTTCGATCTTCTAAAAGCCCCACTGAATCAGAAGAAAGAAGACAAAGAAGGTAACTCTAAGGTATATGCATCAACATAAGCTTCAGTTCCAAACAAAATATTTGGTGAAATTGATTCCAGTATAAATATTGTCCACAAACCTGCGATATAAGGTTGCCATTGTGATAAAAGTTGCTCAACCCAAAGCTCAGCAGTAATAAGCAGAAACCAATTCTTTAAGCAACCTCAACATCCTCCACTTTCTAAGAAACTAATCTTGACATTCCTGAAGGATGAATCCTATTAATCATGGCGTCGCGTTCACATCTTTAACCTCACAGTTTAATGAATAAAACATAATGGAGATCCCTACAAGCGATACCAACTGATTGAGATTTATACTTACATTTGGTCCAGGTGTTTTGCTAGGAGTTTTTAAGTCTGTTTTAGAGACTTGTATGCCCGATAGACAATATAGAGAACCTCTAGTCTTAAAGAACTCCAAATTATTGAGTATTGCAATGAAATCATTCAATAACTACTCATACTTGTCAATCCGAAACTAGCTGAGGCCAGCTGTATGAATCATCTGACTCGTTTCACTCTATATTTGAGCTCATTTCATCCCAATATCAGTTATCTTTAAGAAACTAGAGCTCCCTAAACACTCCTGCTAATGAATACCAGACATAAGTTAGGATTTTCCTAATTTCTAGACAAACATATTACTACTCACTGATTAAGAAGAACATTTATTAGGATTAATTATAAGAGTATTTATTTGTCTAAACTACCTTTTATCCTCACTGATTGACAAGCCACGAACTGGGGCAATAATGGTGAATTTAGAAAAAAGTAACATATATGCTTTCCAAATTCATTTGCCAAAACGACTTATAATCCCCACATTATAACTTGTTCACTAACCGAACGAGCCCTATTTGGATTCAATATCATTTGTGCATCTAAAAACTATAACATAAATTGAACTGTTGAGAATGAATGCATAGAAAACTCGATCGGTAGTCGTCATTTTCCACAGTAGTGAAGAAAGATGAGAGTTTTCATCAACTTACCGAATTTTTCAGATGAGAGAAGGGATCCTTCCTTAGAGATCGGTATAGACGTTTGGCTTTTTTGAAATGTTAAAACTTTGATACGGAAAGTACGTAAATTTCTTGCCATCATGGAACTTCATGCCACATAAATATTACTCAGTATAAGTCTAATATTCTCATGGTGTAAGATATATATTATTTTACACTGAAAAATTCAAGGTAATTCTGATCAAGAACAAATATTGATCAGTAACATTAGTGTAAATTTTTATCGTCACAGATATATTTACTACATTAAAATAGTGGAAAATCTAAGAGAAATTTTCCTGGGTGATATCAGATAGAATGATTTTATGAATAGAAATACCTAAACTAAATTTTGTGACTAGAATAATACTTAAACAATTTGGCCAATAGATTTCATCGGAAGTACGAATTTGGCACTAGATTACAATTCCCTACTAACACAGCTCACCCAATTTAGTTTGAGTACTTCTGTGCAATAAATAGTACTAAATAAAAAAATAAAAACATCAAGGTTAGTGGTGCAGCAAACGGGCAGGTTGGGTACACTACTAGAATTCCTGCAAAAAGTGACTAAAGTTTAGCGACCAACGTTCGTCTGTCAAGGAAAGCGACCAAAGTTGGTCGCTAAACTGGTGAAAATAATAAAATAATAATTTTAAATAAATTAGCGACCAACGTTGGTCGCCACTTGATCGAAAATTTTGTCAAACTGTTGACCGGACTGGTCAGACTTGGTTGGTCAAAGAATTACTCACATTAGCGACCAACGTCGGTCACTTCATGGGACCCACCTATGAAATTTTAATAATTATAATATTATTTTTAAAAAATAATATTATATAAATAAATAAAATTTAAAATTAGCAACCAAAGTTGGTCGCTATATAAAGAGTAAACAGATGGAGACCAACTTTGGTCGCTAATTTGGGACCCAATTATAAAATTTTAATAATTATAATTTTGCTTAAAAAAGTTATAAAATATAAATAAATATAATTCAATTTTAGCGACAAATGTTGGTCGCTCAGTAGAATATATACCAACTTTGGTCGCTAACCTGGGACCCAGTTAATATTTTAAATATTATATGAAAGATAAATAAATCTGATTTAAATTTAGCGTCCAACTTGGGTCGCTAATTTAAAATTATGTATATTTAGCGACCAAAGTTGGTCGCTAAATAGATACATACGCTATAAAATCACTATGTATTTACTAAATAAATAATATAAATATAGCTTAACACATAATATATATACTTACGCTATACTATGCACTAAGTATAAGTGTATTAGGTAATATTATATCGAATATAGCTTTTATATATATATATATATATATATATATATATATTTACTTACGCTATACTATGCACTAAGTATAAGTGTATTAGGTAATATTATATCGAATATATATATATATACATATATATATACTTACGCTATACTATGCACTAAGTATAAGTGTATTAGGTAATGTTATATCGAATATATATACTTACGCTATACTATGTCTATATATATATATATATATATATATATATATATATATATATATATATATATATATATATATATATATATACTTACGCTATACTATGCACTAAGTATAAGTGTATTAGGTAATGTTATATCGAATATATATACTTACGCTATACTATGCACTAAGTATAAGTGTATTAGGTAATATTATATCGAATATAGCTTATATATATAATATATATACTTACGCTATACTATGCACTAAGTATAAGTGTAGTAGGTAATATTATATCGAATATAGCTCTTATATATATATATATATATATATATATATATAATATATATAATATATATACTTACGCTATACTATGCACTAAGTATAAGTGTATTAGGTAATATTATATCGAATATAGCTTATATATATAATATATATACTTACGCTATACTATGCACTAAGTGTATTAGGTAATGTTATATCGAATATATATACTTATGCTATACTATGCACTAAGTATAAGTATATTAAGTAATGTTATATCGAATATAGCTTCTATATATATATAATATATATACTTACGCTATACTATGCACTAAGTATAAGTGTATTAGTGTCACGACCCAAACCCGCACTAGTCGTGATGGCGCCTCTCGTGAAGACAAGGCCAGCCAACAGAACAACAACGCCTCTTTCAAACCCTTTTTTTTAAACCTAAATGATTAGATATTACAACTTAATGACAATAACAATCGATATATATACGACCCAACACAGCCCGATTGGGGTGTCACAAGTCACAAGCATCTAAGGAAGTCTGAACACGACCACAGGGTCAATAATATACAGAATAAAGTTTAGAATCAAAAGACGAAGTCCGGTGCCGCGAACGCCGGCGGTCACCTTGCTCAGCTACGATAGCAAATCCTCAACCAGCTCAAACCCGCTACCGGGTAACCAATACCTGCATCTGCACGCGAGGTGTAGGGAGTAAAGTGAGTACTCCAACTCAGTGAGTAATAAAGGTAAATAATAACTGAGCAGCAAGAAATCACGAAAGGCACTCCATCATGCTATATAGAACAGTGCAACCCTTTGAGAAAACAGTAAAACCGTGAAATCCTTTAGAAAATCTATCTGGGCTCAGTTACAAACCTCTTTTGAAAATATACTTTTTCAACAATTAAGCAAATGAATGCGAAACAGATAGTGCAAGTCAGCACGTAAGTCAGCCCCTCGGGCACAACACTCCATTAACAAATAACACCAGGGTATCTGGTAAACAGTACAAGAAGTAGCATGGATGCCAATGAAATGAGAGTGCTGAATGTCATGACACGTAATACAAACAGGAACCAATGCATGAGTGCAATGCAATGCATATGACCGGTACACTCAGGTACCCACTGCGGCGTGCAGTCCGACCCAACCATGTATTTAACGTCGACGGCGCTCACTAGGGGTGTGTACAGACTCCGGAGGGGCTCCTACAGCCCAAGCGCAATATCAAGCCATCTCGTGGCATCAACCAGGCCCTCGGCCTCAATATCAGTACAGTACCGCTGCGGCACGCAGCCCGAGCTAACCATATATCCAGAAATCACTATAACACTGTTGCGGCGCGCAGCCCGATCCATGCTCAGTCCAGAAATGAACATAAGCCACTTGGGCAATATTAAAATAACAGTTCTCAGCTCAAAACGTCAATAAATGTTTCAGTTTTCAAATCTTAGAAAAACAGCTGAGTTTGCAAAAGATTATTAAAACCTTGGACCGAGATCAAATAATATGCAAAGTAATGCGAAAACAGTGATATCAATCCCTGAAGGATTCACATAGTTGGCACGAAGCCCAAACATGGCAATCAGCCCAAATTATGATGATAACAAGTAGTTTCAGTCAAATACGTAGTAATTTCATCAATCAGGACGGACCAAGTCACAATCCCCAACGGCGCTCTACCACACGCTCGTATCCGGCGTGCAAGTCACCTCAATATAGCACTATGATGTGCAAATCCGGGGTTTCAAACCCTCAGGATATCATTTACAAGTATTACTCACCTCGAACCGGTGAAATCTCTAGCTCGCGACGCCTTTGCCCCTCAAATCGGCCTCCACGCGCGTCAAATCTATCCAAAATCAGAGCGAATACATCACAATATGCTAATGGAACAATACCCAATCGAAAACAATCGAAAATAGCAAAAATCTCGAAATTAGCAAAAACTCGAGCCCCGGGCCCACTTCTCGAAAAAATTACAAAACTCACATTACCGGATTCCTCGTCTCTCCACGAGTCCATACATACCAAGAACTCCCAAATCCGAGCTCAAATGACCTATCAAATCCCAATTTGAAATATCAAAAAAAACTCAAGCCCTAGCTTTACCCCTTTTGATGAATTTCAACCAATCTCCATGTTAAATCTATCATAATCTCGTGTATTTAGGCCAAGGGACTTACCTCCAATCGATTCCCAGTCAAAACTCCCTTAATTCTCGCAAAAAGCTCTCAAGGTCGCTCAACAATGGAGGAAAATATACCAAGCTCGCGGATGAAATATTCAATAAAAACCCTTTATGACCAGTCCAGTTTTCGCTTCTGCGGTCCCGCTTCCGCTTATGCGGCCAAATCCCTGCTTCTGCGGATATTCGTTTAAAATGCCAACACCGCTTCTGCGACTACCCGTCCGCTTCTGCGGACCCGCTGATGCGAATAATGGTCCGCTTCTGCGGAATTACCTTACCACCACAGGGACCGCTTCTGCAGTGAG